CACTGGGAGTATTACACGCTTAAGGAAGTCAACAAGGCTTGCCACAGATACAAAAACTACAAGACCTGATCCTGTTTCAGTTATTTGTAACACTCAAAAATAGCCGTTAAGAGACAACAGATATAAATAGCAGAAGAATAATAGAAGTATTTGTAACTCACTGAATGTGTTTATAAATAGGGTAGGGACAATACCCATGAGTCCCCTGACAGACCGCTGGTTGCAGGGTGCTACACAGGCAAATGTTCCAAGCATGGAACAATTCTGTGTGAGAAAACCATGACCTTTTATAGAATTTAATTTAAATGGTAAAATAATACAAAGAATTTGTATTAAGTTGATAGAACAGTCATTAACACTTGACCATTATGTTCAAAACCAAAAATACTAAACTGTGTTCATATCTCTACTAACAACTCTACAGCAGCCCTTAAAAGCCAAAAGCACATCAAGTTCATGTATTAAACTGTTGGGGTTTTTTTTCCCCTTTGATATCTATTAGCTTTTTTAACAAAAAAGGGAGCTGGGAGTCTGCTCCACTAGCTACAACGTATGGCAATTTCATTCTCAGTATACTGTTTTTGCAATAGGGAAATGGAAAATGGAAAACTCCTACGGAAATAAGGGCTGAATAGAGAGAATTCCACACAAAACTCACTGGAACATAACACCAGTGTAACATAAATACATATATTACCAGATTTGGTATGGATACTCTTGCCAGGAGCCAAATATTTTGAGTACAAATAAGACAGCATCAGACAGCATCTGTGCAGTCACTGCATCAGAGTATTGCAATGTGGCACCAGAAGTGATTTAACCACAAACGTCCCAAGAGTGATTTGGAAATGATTGATGTGACAAGACTGGCAGTCTCTGGATGAATCTCCACAGCTGCCACTATGGATTACTGCTCAAGACAAAGCCACAGCCTTGGTAAAGGAAATCTCTGTAAATCAATGCATTTCTATTCTACTCACAGTAATAACTATGACATGGAATGTTATTTATAACAACAAAGACATTACACCATAGGTAAAGTAGCTGAAGGTGCTTCTTGTGGATACTGTAATTAACATTCATGGAACCAAGGCTGCAACTTATAAATACAAGTCCAATACAGTCTCAAAGGAGGCTCTTGGCCTGTAACTGTCCTAATAAATCAGGCAGGACCATTGTAGGGACTAAAGTGCAAGCACACAACCATCCATACTGCTGGATGGTAACCACGCATCCCTGACACAGGGGCAGGGCTGGCTGCAAGTCACGCTGTGTCACCTGCTCCCAGCAGCAGAAAGAAGAAAATAGCCCCTGGTCTGTCTGTCTTACCTACTAGAATATGCACAGCTTTTAATTTCTGGGGACTTTGCATACAGAAGTGCATAAGCACCCGTTACCTGTTGTGTCACAGCTACTGTACTACACTGAATCTCCCTCCCACTGCACCTCCAAACTGAGGCATCCTTCCTCATATTGCAGAAAACTGACTTAGAAGCCACAGTTTATAAAAGAGTAGCAACTTTTATCAGTCTTCACAAAACTCAAGCTTCCTTTCACATGCTTTTTCTGTCACCAGCTTTTCCAGGGATCATTTCACCACCTTTCTGCTAGCTCTGTTCTCCATAAGAAATGCCATCATCTCTGTTCCATCACAATGCCCCAAAGGGAGCCCCTGGCATCCCAACCTCATAGAATGCTATAACCAAGGGAACACTCTGCCAACTAAAACCACTCCTGGAGCCTCTTTTGCCCCAGGGACTAAAGGTCCTGACATCCCAAAGCACATGAACAGTCTGATGCCATGCTAAATACCAGATGACCATACCTAGCATTAATCTGTGTTGCACCACCACACCATTGACACCCGTTCTGAGTAATACTCCTTGAACTTGTTCTCTCCTTTTACAGGGGAAGGATGAAAACTGCCACCTCTACTACATGAGTAGAAAACAATCTCTCCGTGATACTGATGCTCAAATTCACCTTGTGAACCTCTAAAAGGACTGAGTTCCCTTTTGTGCTTACGTGGCACATCGGCTCCTTCCCCAGAGAAAAGAAAGAGGCACATCTGCCTCCATACCAATTAGCTCTGCTGTTCAGAGCCACTCACTGTCTGGAGGTGACAGCTTGAGGACACCAGCTCTTTGTGAGTGGACATCACAGTTTGCAAGTATTCGGTGAGCTGGACTTCATAGTTTGAAAGTATTTTATTCCTTCTCTGCATACTCTTCCTTAGCCGGTCCCCTCAGAGGCTGCCTGTATTTCTGGAATACATTAATTTCATTTCTCACTACTTCACTGTTGATTCCTTTGACTCTCCCTTCTCAGGATAGAGTCTACAGGATTTTTTGCATTGGTTTTTGTCTACAGCAAGTGAGAGTTTTCTTTGATCATCCTTAGTTTTGGATGCTTCGGGGGGAATTAACATCTGGTTTTAGCATGAAGCTGATGAAACTCCCTGCCCTTTTTTTTGCAGGTTGCTTGATCTGAATAGAGCAGATGGCAAACTATGCCCTTATGTGTTACATCCTCAGGAAATAAGAGATGCTGAATTCACGGGGAGGACTTTAAGAGGACTAAATTCAACAACTGGAAAACTGAGTTACAAGACTGTGGATAAACAGTAATATGAAATTCATAAAAAAAGCTTATCCAAGGCCTACCTTGAAACGTAAGCTTAAATTTCACAGACCTCAGTGAAACTATAAATAAGTTTAGAGTTATGTTCATGGAAAAACAGCTTCCCAAATTAAAGTGTATAATGCTTTCCTTAAAAGATACAAATCTGAGGATTGCAGAAGGAATCTGAGGCCTGATCCAGCTGACTCTCATTGATTAACATTAATGCAATTAAAATGGAAATACTCCTTCTGCATGAGATTCATTTGTATATGGCTTGTTAGAGATGCTATCATCCTCTACACTTTGCCCTACAAAGATGGTGCATTACTGGTGAAAAGATATGTATTGTCCCTAAGCTCTGACACTGCTAGGGAAAAAACAACCACAGCCTTTGGGATAACAGGCACAATATCTGATCTCAATCCATCACCCAATGTTAGTGGCTGCCATTCCTTTTCTTGCCAAAAAGAGAGACAACTTCAGGCCAGTTTTCACTGCAAATCAAGAAAGGAAAGAAAAAAAGACAGGGAAGGGAAAAGGGAAGGAAAAAGAGAGAGAGAAAGAGAGAGAGAGAAAGAGAGAGAAAGAGAGAGAGAGAAAGAGAGAGAGAGAAAGAGAGAGAGAGAAAGAGAAGCGAGGAAGAGCGAGGAAGAGCGAGGAAGAGCGAGGAAGAGCGAGGAAGAGCGAGGAAGAGCGAGGAAGAGCGAGGAAGAGCGAGGAAGAGCGAGGAAGAGCGAGGAAGAGAGAGGAAGAGAGAGGAAGAGAGAGGAAGAGAGAGGAAGAGAGAGAAAGAGAGAGAAAGAGAGAGAAAAAGAGAGAAAAAGAGAGAAAAAGAGAGAAAAAGAGAGAAAAAGAGAGAAAAAGAGAGAAAAAGAGAGAAAAAGAGAGAAAAAGAGAGAAAGGTAACTGCCTGTAGTTACATCAGAGTTGCTTTGCCACCTGTATATCCTGTATGCTTTCTATCAGCTGCTTGCTAAGTGCAGTTAGTAGCAAAGTGCAAAGTCAGTTGCAGCTGATTTTAAGGTAAAACTACTAGTTCTTGAAGAATTACTCTGTATTACTCACATATTGCAACTATAGTATATGTATAAGAAAGATGAGGCAATGAACTCTTCTAACATACATTTTAATCTGCATTAATATACCACTGTCTTTGGTACCAGCAAAGTTAATTACCTTGATCTGTATTATTTTCTTACTCTTTAACTTCAGTTCAATCATTTTTCCCTGTAATGAACTCCTGAAATTAGTTTTTATTTTATTTTATCCTATTAAAGCTTTTGCTGTTGTTCTTAAAGAAATGTGCTGTGTAACACAGGGTAGCTTGGTAAGATTCAACCATGAGTTCTAGAAATAAGTTTTAATACATAAAATACATATATTGCTTTTGTATCAGTTAATGATAACAAAAATTCTGTCAAGACGTACAGTTAGCAGCATTGCAGTGTACAGTGAAGTAACAGAGTGGGAGGATATTTTTCTTTTAAACTTAGGAAGGAATATTCATTGCTTTGGGGCAAAACAGGTGGTAAAACAGCTCACAGCTCTTTTGAGACAGATTGCCACTTTGATGCTTGGCACGTGAGAGATTCCAGCAAGCTCAGACACAACTACCTAGGATTTGTAACACCAATTTCTTTAGTGGATCATATGCCTTAGATGGTAAGATAGCTCCTTCTCATCAAAATGGAAAAAAAACAAATGGAAAAAATAGTAGTGATTTTTTAAAAAGCACACAGCAGAACATCTGGGCTTCCTGTAAATCCTGGTCACCTAAGGGAGTGGCAAAGCTCTCCAATCTGAAGCTTGGCTACCAATACTCCTTAAGGTGTTCAGCTGAAGACTTTTTCTCCCAGTGACATAGAATTTCACATACTATTTCAGAATTGCCTAGTGGATTTTCCAGTGCAACAAAACTTTAGCTGAGAAATCCTGATGCAACTGGACAGGAGGCTGGCACTTCCTAGAGACAAATCTAACCTTCACCCTAACAAACATTAGTAAGTACTAGTAGCTTGTCAGCTTTTTTTGTGTGCATTTTCCATTAACGTTTGTCCAGTTGAAATTTTGAACTTCTTGGGAAGGGTTTCACCTCTCAATGTATATACACTATACAACATTGCACAAGGCAATTTTTTACTCAATCTGAAGCATGGCCTAAGAACATCCCTGGAATACAAATGCACAACTAAGCTCAGCTCCATTCTTGTAAGATCCAGCAAACACACTGGGAAGTGCTGCTCCTTAGAGCAATATGATCAATTCCTTTGGTCTGGCAGAGGGACTGACAAATTAGGTATCAAAAGCCATCCTGTTGACTTGTCTTGACACAGAGGCATGCTTGCCTTTGGATGTGCATTCAGTAAGCAGGTACTCACATTCCATAAAATAGGGGCCAGGTTCAATTCGCCACACAATCTGTCCTTTCTGTGTTCCTGTCACTCCTCGATTCTTGGAATCCCAGAAATTGGCTGGAGAGTTCTCATCTGAAAGAGGAAAGGAAAAAAAAAGAGTCAAGTTGTATTTATAATAGTACTTCTCTTAGTTTTCTGTTTCTGGAGGCCCAGGTATTAAAAAAAATAAATCACTAGTATAAAAAAATAAATTTTTAAAAAAAATCAAACTGGCAAAAGATTAATAACTTCTCTTTTACAGTTGATAGATCAATTTATGCAGTGAGCAGACACAGATACAGCCAAAGCAAATACATGGTTTCCTGTAAAAGGTGATTCCAAAACTTCCAAAATTTCCCAGACTCAGAGAGGCTGTTGGAAGTGTGTAGCTGATTGAAACTTCATCACAGAGTCACCACACTGTGATGTGAAAATCTGGCATTCATTCCCTAGCTAGGAAGTACAGATTTGCAGCTAGAGGTATCAAGACTTACTTCAGTTTTTAATATATTCCTATGTTTTAGAAACTAGTGAGAGTTATTTTTATACACACATCAAAGAATCTGACACTTTCAGCTTCCAAACAGCTACAGCATTATTCCTTATCAGTGAAGTCAAGTTAGAGGCTCCAAGCACAGAACTGTCACTTAGAAAGAGACACAGAAATGAGACATTCAGCAAAATACATTCAAAAGAGAAGAGGAGCAAACAGTATCTGCAGATCAGCTTAGCAATATCAGCATCTTCCCCTCACAAACTAAGGATTTTGTCCTAATAGCAACAAACATGGGTCATGGGATTTGTTTTTTATTTACCAGCTTGTATTCTGGCACCCAGAACAGTGTATGAATGAAGGAAAGGCAGAGTGAGAAGTTGTTTGAAAAGGCACAGAGGTTAGTTACGATGGCCTGCAGGAAGCTGACATAAATCCAGCTTAACTTTTTTGTACAGGAAGTTCTTTAAAAGAATGTATCTTGCAAGTGCATTTAGGCAGCTCGTTCTTAATTAGCCAATTATACCTGCGACCTCAAACATCACACCTTCCTTCTTTCCAGTGGTACTTGATATCCCTTAGTCTTAGGGTTTTTTTAAAAAAAGAATATTAAAAATCCTGTTTTATTACATATATTTGAGTGCATTCTGTTAAAAAGACTTCACTAAGAACCCAGTCTACTGTGGCTTTCTTCATCCACAAGCCACTATCCACTCAAGCATTTTCTTTGTACTTTGTTAGAAACTCTCAGATAAAGAAGATTACAGAATTGTCACCTACATTTTAGAAATCCATATGCTACTTTGTCACTTTGAAAAATATAAATTTACTTCTATTTTTAAAATACAAACTTAAACTAAAGCTTCTACTTCTCCCCTTCATTTTGACTGTTCATCTCAGTGTGTGCACTGCCACGTGGCTAAATCATTATTAGTGCAGTCTATGTGTTCACATCCCACCAAACTGACATGTAAAGCATTACAAGACACACACTGGACTTCTCTGACTCTTCAGGAGTGATGCACCTTGTCCACAGACTGGGAGATCTCTGGAGAGTCAAGAGGTGGCCATGGAAATCTACAGACATTTTTTATGCCTCCAGGCATGGGCGACACTGAGACTGTTTAGAAAGCTGCAGTCCGAACACCTCAACATCGTGATGAGTCCAGAACAATTTCATAATTATCTTAATGGCAGTAAGGAGGGACAGGATTGTTCTCCTAACTCACCCTCAAGCATATAATACACTCAGGCTTAACTTTTTTGTGTGGAACCAGCATGATAATACATAAGCTGCATACACCAGAAAGTCAAGCACACAGGTAGTAAAACTTAAAACCTGCACATTCGCTCTTCATCACAGCAAAAACCTCTCAGAGTAAACAAAGCTGTGTATCACCCATGTACTTGCCTTTTTTATTTTAAAGCTATATTAACAGGGACCCTGAAAGTATAGTGTATAAATCATCCCATGTGCCTCCAAAAACAAAAAAAAACCAACCCCAAACAAAAACAAGCCCCCATAAAAGAACCAAACAAAATCCCACTTCTGTACATGGCTTGCAAGGACACTCTAAACAAAACAATATGCTGTTGACTTTTTTTTTTTCCCATTTTTAACATGCCCTACTAATACAAGGACCCACTAATACCATCCCCAGAAAGAACTCGAGGAAGCCATGAGATACATCTTAACCTCCAACAAGTCCACACTACTGCCTATTTTGATCCACCATACAAACTTGGTTATCCAAACCATCATTACCAAAAGCAAGCAGTCTTTAAAAATTTAAAAATTGTCTAAAACACGGTTTTAAATTAGTCAGTGTTCGCATTCATCTAAGTAAAGAAAGATCTAAATAAACAACAACAAAAAAAATCTCCCCTAATACACTCTAATCCTTATGAATTTCTCTATTTAATCAATTGGAGATGATTCTGTTCATAATTCTAAACAGAAGGACAGATATTTGGAATATTACAAATATATACATTAAATTTCTTATTCTTACCTTGTTCAACAAATCAAGGAATTCTAAAGCAATGAAACATCCCTTTAAAAGTAAGCCTTCCAACATTAAGGCACAAGTGATTATTCTTTGGTTTTTAAAATCAGTAACTAAATAAAGTGAAAGGTAATTTTTACAGGGACACTAGTGAGCTTCAGAAAAGGTCCCACATGAACCAAATCTTGAATTCTGAGCTGATAGTTACACGAAAGCAGAACATCTTCCTCATATCTTATTTAATAAAATCCAACATTTAAGCACCTGGATTTTCAGCCCTTTCAGGAAAGAACAGTCTCCTTCGCAGGAATGAAGACTTAAATCATTGATACTCTGCCTCCAGGCACACTGCCATTGCACCAGAAGGTGGTGGGAACAAAGGGATCAAAAACACTGACAGACCTGTCAGCAACTGAATCAAATTACAGAATTTTGGACATCTGATTGTCTTCTGTCTTCTTTTTTCATTTTTTTTGTCATTCACATGAGGAAAAAAATAATATTACTAATGTATAGGGAAAAATAACTTCAAAGCTCAGTTCACAGATTTTAAAAAAAGCAACTGGACAGAAAAAAAAAAGTCAAATAGCATGAAAACAGTGAAGTACACATTATTGTCAAAATGTAGTCGTCAACGCTGCAATAAAAAACAGTTAAACTGTGATAGACTCAGTAATATTCAGATGTGCAAAAAAAGTGTCAGAATTACCACTACACCATCTCTCCTCTTTCCCCCAAAATATATATGCATATACGTGTGTATATACACACATATGCACACTATATAGATCTATATTTTTAATTATTATGATTTTTTATTCCATAGGAAACCTTGGTCTAGGAATTTCTAGTCCCTTTTTAGCACATAATTGTTGCTGTTTGCAAAACTGGCGGCTGTTCCAGAACCTGAGCCAAAGAGCAGATATAAATAGCCCTTCCCAGAACATAAAATATGCAACAAAATACTGTCTTACTGCATTATCTCCTTCAGTGAGTCCACACTTCTGAAAGAAATCAAACGATGCAGGTTGCACAGTGCCTTTCTATCTTCAACAATTCTTAGGCACAAAATATTGCAGAGAGTAATTTATTTCCCAGACCTGTAACTCCTGCACAAATCAGCACATGGTGAGACATTCTACAATGAAGAAAATCTCACTGTGTGGAACTTCACACTAAGTAGTGCCCCTTGAAATCACTGTGAAGTAAACTTGTCCTGAGTAATCATGGTTTTTCTCTATTTAACTGCTGAGCAATCAGCCACAAACGTTATGGAAAATGGAACTCTGTTTTTTCCACTTTCAGGCTTCACCATCATTACAAGACCCTTGAGGGCAAGTCAGCTGCCAGTGACATCTGTAATACCCCCAGCTCTTGCTCTCAGGTCAGCACTGTAGTTCTCCACCTGTGTCCACAGCTCTGCCTGACAGGTCAGTGCATGGGATGTGTCATTTCAGTGCAGCTGTCATACATGAAATGTAGTATAGAAGTACTGGACACATGGATGAACAGTGCAATGGAAGAAAGGATCACTTCTACAGAATTAGTTTTCACACTACAATGATGCCCAGAGAGGAGTAAGAGCCATGGTAAGCTCCAGTATGCCCATGCCTTTTCTGTACTGGGAGTCCAGAACTGGACACAGCCCCCAGATGTGTCTCACCAGTGCTGAGAAGAATGAAGGACCACCTACCCCAACCTGCTGGCTTCTTTCTGTCTTGCCACAGTCACTATTTCTGTCATAGGAAGAAGGATAAACTACCTGAAATCCATCACCTTTAAATCAACAAACAACTAACTAAACAAACAAATAAGATACAGTCTTTCATAAGATCACTAAAAAACAAGAACTGCTATTGATCTGAAACAAGCCTTGTAGTCCCAGTGCTCATCTCCTGGTCCCAGCTTCTCTGGTCAGTAGTTTTAGGTTGTGTGATAAAAGGCTTGTCTCCAGGAATAGAAGGGATTTTTATTCTTCAAATACCAAATCATGATAGAAGTCACAATCTCCTAGGGTGGAAACATCACAGATTGCATACTGCATAGGAAAAAATTTAGAAGGTCCCTATAGCAATCTAAGAGCTTCCAACTTTTGCATACTGATCTCTTTCCTGCAACACATTTACAAAGATGCTTATATGCAGAGCTCGGAGAGAAGGTGATGCCTAACAGATTCTGAATGTCACTGAATGGTTTTAATTACACACGATTTTACCATTTTCTTCTTTTCACTGCCTTATATGGGTATTCTAATTCACAGCTCTTGAAAGCTCTGTGCAGCTTAGCTCAGAGATCAATCATGTTGGGAGCACCATTGTATCCCTGTATAATTCCATTATCCTTACTTAGGATTTACATCCCAATTTCCACTTTTTCATTCCTTTCTGGAAGACGCCTTAGGCAAAATCTTTTGAAGTGCTTATATTGTTTATTCTTAATTTAAAATTTTAAATTCTATTCAGATAGTCAAAATGCTGACTTCCTTACCATTTTAGGTTAATTTTAATAAATTCTTAGGCACTGAAGACAATGCATACGATGCATCCAATTATTAAGAAGGGTGTTTGTACTCAGCCCAGGCAGGTTTATAAAGC